TTAGCAGTGCAATACAGCATGCAAAATTTCAACATAGGTCACCAGACAAAATAAAGAGATATAGCGCATTGTTTTTCTCAAATGGAAAATTCTAATGACGTCAGCAATTGACATAAAACGCTATATAGAACACGCGCAATGGCGTGATATGGCGCGAGCAACTGCTCACGTCAGGTCATTTTGGAAGTTCTTTCATTTTGTTAATCAGTTTCCGCGACCTGCGCGACTTGTGCGCGTAAAAATGGTCACCCGGTTTTGAGTTTTTGTGATAACTATATCGAGCCACCTTAATTTAAAGGAAAAAAGCTGATCAAAATGGCCTAATTTTGGTTCTGAATTACACACAAACAAAGTCTCTTGGAAACTGCTGACACATACGGTAAAATAGTTAAGTTTTTTCAATTTTCCTCGTAGTTTTGAACATGAAAGTGACAGGCGAGTTTTTAAATATATGTACAATGAATGTTTGTTTTAATTATATTCCAAGTAGAATCGAATTCAAAAATAGTTTGTAGCTACATACCCCTATTTTCTCAAAGTTTTTAATGTGTGATTGTTTTAAGTAAGAGTCCACGTATTTAGCTATCATTTTAAAGAGTTTTTTTTCGTTTATTATGAATGTCGAAGATTTTGGCCAAGTTTGTTTTCGCCTTATATGAGCCTTTTTGATCGAGATTTTCGATTAAATTTTAATTTAAACTTGTCTGTATATATAGTAAATGATGGAAATGTTTCGCTCTTTATTTTTTCAGATATATTAAAGATTTTAACGACATTCGGATTCTTTTGTGTGCATTTTTATTCGGCTTTTTAACGTAAACTTTATTTAGTAACAATTCTGGAAGCCATTTTGTGTTTGAAATTTTGTATTTTTTAAGCCTTAATTGTTTCCTTCTTTTAATTATTAGCCAAACTTTGCTTGTATAACGACCCTATACCATTGTTTTGTTTTACGACATGTTCTTAAACTTTTTTTAAACCCACAAGTATTTTTTTCAAGCGATTCTTGGGAGATCGCAACACTGAGTATAGTTGTCACTTGTCAACAAGGGCCAAACGGGAAGCCATTTAAGGAGGCTCCCTAACAGTTTCCAATACATGTCAGTGTACGTTTTAAACCTAAAAGCCATTTAAATCTAAAAAAAAATTTTTGCCAGAAGCCATTGTTAAGTTTCCTCTTATATAAAAAAGTAATTTTAACCCACAATCGCTACTCTTCATGTGGGGTCTACACCGTAGGCTACCAAAAAAGCCGTCTTAGCGGACAAATAACCCCGGTGACCTAACTTTTTTATTGCAGAAAATACATTGTTATGAAGTTTTGAATCTCTTCTGACAGGTAATTGAAAATCGCCAATGTAGTTTTGGAGAAACTGAATTTCAGCCTTTTTAAAGTTTCATTTTAACCTTTGGAAAGGCTGAAATTCAGCCTTTGAAATTGAAGCCGAGTTGACTATTCTCTCAGACACAACGAGGCTGAGTTGTCTAATTGAGTGTTTGAACTGTTAAATATACCAGTCGTGGTTTGTCCAACATGGATAATAAAATAAATGGATCGGACACTAGCTGACGTGACCTAATGTTTTCAATTGGGTGATGGCGTGGTTGGATGTTGAAACCTATAGTTGCAAACCAAATTCTCAAAAACGGCATGTTTAGCACTAGGCTAATACAGTTATAAACATTTTAGTCAAAGAGCAAATAAATATAATTGGAAATTTTCGACCTTGTATAAACTCACCTTGTTTTGCTGTCCGACAAACACGTTAGCACTGTCTGACTAGCATGCGCGCGCATCTCATGTGACTACGTCGTGACGTAGGCTGATGACAAGATAGAACTACGCCATTCTACGATGAAATCTCTAAGTATTTCCAGTCAATTTTAGCAAATATTTCAAGCACTAAACAGTGAAAAATGCTTCCCAAACTTCGTTAAAATTGGTGACGCCAATTTCGTAGCTACAAATGTAAAAAAATACAAATCAAAGATGAAAAATATTTACCTTGAATACTTTGTCGTGGCTTAGGCATGTTTTTAAAACAATTAAACCAGTTTATGCTTCAAAAGTATTCTTTTAAAGCGAAAATATAGCGAAACAACAAAAAAGCCGAGAACTTTGGCAATACGCGTGACGTCACAGATTGCAACTAGGTTTAGACTGACGTCTGCTAGAGTCCTATCCATTTATTTTATTATCCATGGTCGTGACTGTTAACCTGTGGTTATGCCTAGTCTATATTTATACACGGCTGTTGTTATTATACAGCTCAGTGGTTTTAGTACATCCCAGAACATCGCAGGCGTTTTTTTGTCAGTACACCCGCGATCACAATTAGGATTATCAGCGGTTGAATTTTGAACTCAATATTCAAACACATTATTCACACACCATTAAAACATTTTTAAGTCAATTTAACTTTTATACCGATCCCAAACCCTAACTGACCTAATTTATGACAGTTAGGGCCTGTTCATATATATGGGCAACAGTTGTCCTGGTTAGCGACAAAACTTTTCGACAAGTTTACAAGCCGGATCTCGTCTTCGTATGAAAATAATCATGAAAAGTTGCACTAGCTGCGTTCATATGAGACAGTCAAGTTTTCCCGTGTACCGAGATCTCGCTTGTTGACAGGCGAGATCTGGGTGACCGGGATAATGGTTTTCCCATATGAACACAACTTTCTGTCGTGTCAGCAACTTTTCAATTCAACTGATGTTCAGTGCTACGTCACAGCCGGAAACTTTACCCGGTAAGCGGGATAACGTTTCTCCCTGATATGAACAGAACAAAAGTATTTGGCTAGTCGTAAAGTTTTCTCATTTTAAAATTCGCAACGAGCCTTTTACAAGCCTTTTTGAATATGTAGTCTATGCATGGGTATTCCAACTTAGGTCTTCATTTAAATAGACTCCCAGAAGTTTATAATTTGACACACATTCTATTTCTTTGTTCCTCATGATGATTGGGTTGACAAGAATGTTATGTTATGATCATGCATAAAATTAGTGAACGTCTCCTTACAATTCCCTGGGTTAAGTTTCATATTATGACTACTAGCAAATTCATGGATGTCCATTACCACATAGTTAAGTAAGCTGATGGAATTTTTGGTAAGATCTCTAAGGCCGAGGTATCGTCAACAAACTTGATTCTTAAAAAGGCCAATAGACATGTCAAGATACACAGCATCGACTTGACCTCCAACATCCAAAATCGAGCCAATATAGTTGAAAACTTCGAGAAGATTGGTCACGCATGATTTTCCTCTATTGAATCCGTGCTGCGAGGTCTTAATTACCTGGTACAGCTGCTCCCTGATGTTAGAAAAGACGCAGCGTTCCAAAACTTTTGACACAATTGAAAGGAGTGAGTTTGGCCGATAGTTTTCAGTATATTCTTTTTCACCTTTCTTGTACACAGGAATTATGTTAGCGATTTTCCAATCTTCCGGGAGAGCACCTTCACTTAGGGACTTATTAAAAAGCGTGCACAAAGACGTTGAAATAACAGGAGCAGTTTCTTTAAGCAGACGGGCTGGGACGTTGGCAGGTCCTGTGGCTTTTGTAACATCCAATGTTTGAAGAACTGCTTGAACTTCCTCAACTGTCAGAATGATCTCAAATAAGACTGGAGTTTCGAGTTCATGGCTGGTTTCTTCCCTCAAAGAGTCATCAGAATCAAATACTGAAGCAAAGTAGCTGTTAAACATGGACGTGATATCATCAGGGTTGTCAGCTTTGATCCTTGGTGACTGGGATTCTTGATCATTCTTTGTTTCAGCTGTAGAGATTCTCTACTAGAGATTGTATCTGGGATGTTGCGCGTTTTGGACTGATGTTTCATTGCGGACCAAAATCGTTTTGGATTCTCTTGGAAGTTGTTCCCCAAAGACACATAAAAACGTAGATGACTCGTCGGGGACGATCTTAGTTTTTTCCGCACAGTGTTCTTTTTCTTAATCAGGTGTAAAATCATTCCGTTTATCCTTGTTTATTTGTGTCGTTTATTTTAGTTTTTTGCTTGGGACATATTTCGAATCGAATATACATCTCCAAGATGTCCAGTCATCGTTAATATTGTCATATTCTATACACAGAGTTAAGTCAATGGTAGATAACGAGGAACGTAAACCTTCAAAGTTGCCCATTTTGTAGTTGTAAACGAATTTGACTCTTTGTTTTTGGAATTTCAACAAATGCATTAAACTCGTAGTGGAGTACACAATGGTCTGTAAAAACGACGGCGTTGTCTGGCGATTCCACATCAGTTATGTTAACATGTTCAGGTACATTGGTAATAATAAGGTCAAGGATGTTGTTGTCTCGAGTTGGGATGCTGTTGATCTGGGTTAGGAAATGATCATTTAGGGCTTCGATAAATGAATTACTTGTGTTAGGAGTTTCACCATTGTTATTCCAGGAAATATGTGGCATATTGTCAATTGAAGTCACCAGAAATCATCACCTTATCGAACTGATCACACACTTGGTCGAGGAAAGCATTAAA